TCTTCTTCTTTGTGAAGTTAGTGGAGATCAGATTCTATGAAACATATTCTTGCCATTCTGTTTTTGGAGGCAGTTTCAAGGTGAGGCCTGGAGATTTGATTTTCTAGTAAGTAAACAGAGTGATCTGTCTCTTTATCAGAAACTCATTTTTCCTGTCACCTTCCTTCCTAGTATTCTCTCTAATCATCTTAATTGTTTTTAGGGGCTGTTGAGTACGACTCATAGCAATCCTATGAACAACAGACCTGAACCCTGTGCTATACTGAGTCATCTTCATCACTGCTGACACATGTGTGTCCATTGCTGCAGTTACTGTGTCAATCCACCTTGTTGGGGATCATCTTTACTTTCTCTGACCCTCCACCTTTCCATGCACGGTGTCTCTTTCCAAGGAATAGCACCTCCAAACAACATGCCCTATACATGAATCACAATCTTTGTGTTCAAAGAGCACTATGGTTGCAGTCTTTCCAACTTTTCCAAGACTTGTTTTTCCTTTCCAGTGTATAGAATATTCAGTTCTCTTCTCCAACAACACATTTCAAGGGCACTGATTTCTTTCTGTCATCTTTTTGTCCAGCTTGTAGATGGTTATTAAGTGATTGAAAAGACCATAATTGAATCAGGCATACCTTAGGCTTCAAATTGACATCATTGCTCTTCAATAATTTGTAGAGATCCCTGACAGTAGACCTGCCTAAGGCTACACACCTTCTAATTTCCTTATTACTGGTACCAAGTGTGTTGGATTGTTGATCCAAGCAAAATGAAATCACTGACAACTTCAATCCTTTGTACACCTGTTTTGATGTTGCCTATTGGCCTAATGGAAAGAAGCTTCCCTTTGCTTTTTGTTGAGATATAATCCATACTGAAGGCTGTAGTCCTAATTTTTTTGAAGCAAAAGTTACAAGTCCTCCTCACTTACAGCAAGCTTGGCTTTGTCATCTGTATAACAGAGATTGTTGATGAGTTATCCTCCAATCCTGATGCCACCTTTCTTTTTACAGGGTCCAGCTTCATGAATATTTGCTCTGCAAACAGATTGAGTATATGGAAAAAGGATACATCCCTAACACACACCTTTCCTGATTTTAAATCATGTAGTGTTCCCTTGCTCCTTTTGAACAACAACTTCTTGATCTGTGTATAGATTTACATGAGCATGATTAAGTGACTTCATCTTACTTCTTGAGCATCCCAAAGGTTTCCTGATAATGTCCTAGTTTACTGTAGTATTAACAAGAAGAATTAAGAGTTGTAAATCTCAGCTACACTTAGTCCTTATGACCTATTTGAACTTTGGCAAATCATATTTATGTACTTTAATCATTATTGTTGCTATAGTGTATTGTAGAGTTGGAACCAAACCAGTAGTTTTTAGGGTAATAAATCACATGGGAGTGGACTACCCACCTTTCATTTGTGGAAAATTTGGTGGATTTGAACCATGTACCTTTGCTTTGACAGCACAATTCTTTACCACTAAGCTACTAGAGATGCCTTAATATTGTTGCTGTTGTTGTAATTTGCTGTCAAGGTCCATGTAACTCTTAGCGTCTCTCTGCTCAATATTTTGTACCCTGTCCTATTCTGTGTCTATCACACTGTCTCTAAAGCACCTACCCCCATTACTCCAGTTACCGTGTCAGTTCATCTCCTCCAGGGCCTTTCTCTCTTGTACTGGCTTTGTACATAGCCAAGCATAGTATTCTTCTGCAAGGAATGGTCCCCTTTGACAAAATGTCTAAAGTATGTCAGATGGAGCTTACCTCCATGGAGAAACTTGGTTTCACCCTCTCAAGAAAATACCCATTTGTTCTCTTGGAAATCCATGGAATGATCAATACTCTTCCAGAACCACAGCTCAAAGGCATGGATTCTTCTGCTGTTATCCTTGGTCATACTTAACAAGTTATTATGAAAACCAATTAGCTCTGTAATGAAGAAGGGTCTTTCATCTGCCATTTTGGGTAAAATTTTTCTCCGTCAGATATTGTTCTAAAGCTGAGTATGTACAATAGATCACACTTAGATTAGACTAACAGATACGGCACCAAAGCCGGAGTCTTCATATTGGGAAACACAAGAAGGAGAAAAAGTTTCAAAAACCACTAATGATTGGAATGATGAATGTGAGAAGTTTGAATGTAGGAAAATTGGACATTGTTAAGGAAGAAATGGAAAATGTAAATATTGACATACTAGATGTAAGTATTGACATATTAAATGTAAATATTGACAGAATGATTGGCACAGGACATTTTTATTTGAACCGTGCCCCTCTGGTATTGTAGTTGCAGCTCTTTGCCACTAGGCCACTAGAGCTCCCCAGCACAGGACATTTTGAATCAGATAATCACATGGTCTATGGCATGGAAATGAAAAGGTGAGGAATAATGGGGTTGCATTTATAGTGAAAAAAAAAATTACAGATCCTCTTGAAATACAGTATTGTGAGCAACAGGATAATATCCATGTATATGTTATTATCATTACTAATTCTGAAGCAGGAGTGGACTTCCTAAATAACATGCCTCTGGAAACTCTATGAACTTTGATAAATGTCAATAGTTGTAGAGGGGCTTCAGGCCTTTTGCTCATAGGGTCGCTGTGAGTCATGATCAACTTGAAGGCAATCATCAACAACAACCACATACAATATTGTAGAATATTTGTTTGGATGTTATCATTCCCAAACATTTATTCTCAGATATTTATATGCCGATGTGTAATGTTATGGTTTCTGGCTGAAATGTTGCCATGGGACAGGCTGTTATAAAAATTTAAATAAAACATTTTAAAGAACAGGAAAAATATGTTCAACTGACATTAGAACTCATTTATGACAAGAAGTCAAAATGAACCCTTAGTTTAAGTCAAGGACTATTTGTATTATGTTGTTATATTAAAACCAGAGAAAGACAGAAGATGATGGGGATAATTTGACTTGTTCTAGTTTACACAGCTAGAGAATAGAGTTGACATATTGAGTCAATCTTCGCTATTTGTAATATCGTGAAGATTTAAAGAGGAGAAAAACTAATAAATAGTTTTAAGCACAATGATAAGTTTATGAATTCCAGGCCAGAGAGACAGGAAATACACTGTTTGGACAGCTAGCTATACACTTATCCAAATAAACTACTTAAAGCAAACGGAAAATTGCAATCAATTATTCCCTTGTCAACTCTCCTGTTAAATTGTTCCCCTGTGTCATTTGTCAAGTTACTTAATCAGGTTTTATCATCGGGATAATGTCTCACTTCCTCCATGCTTCAATGATGAGGTACTCTTATCATTCACTGTTTTTCCCATCTTAGAACCTGTTGTTGTGTTGTACCTTCAAGTGAGAATGGGCCCATAGCTGAACCTCCAGTGGGTTTTCAGAGGCAATAAATCACTGGAGAAGTTGCCCATCTTTCTCTCAGGGAGCAGTTGGATCTGAACTGTGTGCTTTTGAGTTGGCAGTAAAATTTCTAAGTTTGTAAACCTTACATAAATTTTCACAGGACTTGCTCCACATCATACCTTGACCTTTTGTGCCTAGAGAACACTTTTCCTCCTACTAATCCTACTGCTTCCTATTATCAGCTACAATAAGTTTATTTTACCTTTTTTAACAATTTTACTTCTCTCCTTAATCTCATTCTAATCAACCTTTCCACCTGACTTCTCTTATGTCATTGGAACCTTCGGTTGGGTTTTTTAAATCTCTCATTCCTTCTTCTTCATTTTTTCTTGCCTTTGTTTTTCCTTTCCAGTTGCTTACTTGTTCCTGTTTTTCAAAGTTTTGGGTTCTTATGGATGTTGCTTTGAAAGAAATGGAGAGAGAGAATCTCACAAAGTGACGGTGGAAGAGCTGTGTGCCAGAATACTTCCTCTTCAATTTTTCTGATCCTTGTAGCTCAGGGAGTCATAGTTGGCACAGATTACAAATTCTTTTTGGATTTTATAATGAGGTCCTCTGCTCTCCACTTATTCTAACTCAAATCACAACACTGTCTTACTCTATGCATATCAAAACACCACCACCAATCAAGCACCACCCCAAAACCAAACTGTTGCCATAGGGTCAAGTCTAACTTATAGCAAGTATCCAATGTGTTTCCAAGGATGTAAATCTTTATAGAAGGAGCATATCTGTCTTTTTTCAAGGCAGTGACAGGTTCTAGTTAACTACCTTTCTCTTAGTAGTCCATTAGGTAATGCACTATGATGCTAGGACTCCTACTTATAAAAAAACCCAATTCAACTCACTGTTGTTACATTCTATACATGTACTCAACCCCACTCATTGCTGGCACCTGAACTGACTCATAACTGACCCTTTGTAGTATTTCTGAGGCTATCATCATCCGTAGGCTCCATGGGAGAAACACAGGCAATATCCTCTCATGGAACTTAAAGTCTCAGAAGAACTATGGAAAGGTACAGCCTTTGCATCAGCAGCTCAATTTCCTATAGTGTAAGCCCCCAGGGCTCCTTTTCTTTGTAGGCTCAAATTAATAGAGTCTTCAGAGGTGAGAGGCTAGACAATGATGGGCAAGGTCTAATGGTGATTGGTTTAATAAAACACAATGCATGCCAATAATTGTATGAAAGAAAATATTAATAAAGAATAGTGTGAAGTCACACACATGTGCAGAAACACCCCCCTCCCCTGCCCCCAACCACAAAGAACAAAAATACTTCTTCCTCCTTTTTTGGCCCTTGCTCCTACAGATTCATTGCCACGGAGGGTGGTAGTTGCAAATATTTATGTTCATAGGAGATAATCGTAATAAAACAAAGCAGTAAAACTTGATGTTGGTTAAAATAATCCAAGTGCATATTATCTTGACATGTATGACAACAGTATAAGCAAAGTTCAGTAGTTGAAACTTATAATTAGGCAATAAAAGGAGCCTATCATTCACAGCTATTTAGACCTGCCATAAGGGTAGAAAACTCAGCCTCTCCTCTTCATTGATTATCTAGCTTTAGAAAGTTAAGATTACAGCTCCTCTGAGGTTTTCCATCCTCCTTGAGCAGATGACGCCTGCATCCTCAATGTGCACACAGTTATGCTCTCCCCAACCCTGAGATGGGCACTCCCACACGTGGGTCTCTGTTCCTGTGCACTGCACTTCGTCAAGCCAGATAGGTCCTGATCCCACACCAAAAGTATCACTGAATTTAATATCAAGTGCCTGTCCACAGTCCAGCTGTTTGCAGACCACGTGGCCACCTGTCATATCCCAGTTGTCATCACAGATGGTGCCCCAGGATCCTTGGTAAAAGATCTCCACTTTCCCAGCACAGTGACTATTTCCACCCACCAGGCGGAGTTGGATGTTCTCTGAGGAAGAGAGAATTTGGTTACTAGGGATGTTTATATAGAAACAATCGAAGTTATATTTTATTTGGGAATCCTATCTGTCCAGTTGACAGCACTCTCTCCTAATGGTACATAGTCCTCTGAGTCAGACACAGTCTTTGTACCTGAGTAAATTGCTAGTCTAGTTTTCTATCAGGAAAAATATGTCAGAATGGTTGAACAACAGTAAATGGAATACTAATAGTATTTGAAAAATAGTAAATGGAATTTAATTAACATTTGTCTATAGAGTGGGAGTTGTTATATATGCCAATGTTAACCTTGGCAGATTCTTAAAAGGACATAGGAGAAATGTCTGCATCTTTACGCTAAAAATGTAGTAGTGTCTTGCTTTGAATGAGAAGGGTCAGAGTCCAATCATGGAGTCACTGAGTCCCTGTCAAAAGCCAGCCGATAGATGTACTTCTTATAAACAATAATCACCATGCCACTGAGGTAGGAGCTAGAATCCACTGACATGGAAGTTAGGACAAACCTCAGGTTGTTGTTACGTGCTGTCGAGTTGCTTGCGACTCATAGCGACCCTGTGTACAACAGCCCTAAACTTTTCTCTGTCTTGTGCCAATCACACTGTCTCTGACACTCCCATCCTGATTACCCCAGTCACTGAATCAATCCATCTCATAGAGGGCCTTCCCCTCCTGCGCCGTCCCTCCACCCTCCCAAGCATGATGTCCTTCTTCAAGGACTGATAGCTCCTTAGAACATGTCAAAAGTATGTTAGTCAGAGCCTCAGAATCCTTGCCTCCAAGAAGCCAGCCGGTTTAACCCTTTCCAGGATGAATCTGTTTGCTTTCCTAGCAGTCCATGGTACTCTCAATACTCTTCTCCAGCATCACAGCTCAAAGGCATCAATTCTCCTTCTATCCTTCTTGGTCATTGTCCAACTCTCTGATGCATAACAAGTGATTGTGAAGACCATGGCCTGTATCAGATGCACCTTAGTCTCCAGAGAGACACCATTGCTCTTCCGTACTCTGGAGAGGTCCCTAACAGCAGACTGTCCCATGGCAATGCACCTTTTTAATTTCCTCGCTACTGGTGCAGAAAGTGTTGACTGTGGAGCCAAGCAAAATAAAGCTGCGAACAATCTCAATCTCTTCACCATCCATCCTGATGCTGCCAATTGGCCAAGTGGTGAGAATCTTTGTCTTCTTGATATTGAGCCTCAATCCATATTGAAGGCTGCAGTCCTTGACCCTCTGTAGCAAGTGCTTTGGGTCCTCCTCAGTTTCAGCAAGTAGGGTTGTGTCATCTGCACAACACAGATTGTTGATAGATCTTCCACCAAAATCCACGATCAAAATTATTCTTCATGCCACCATTCAGAACTAAATAGTGAATGGGCCATTAGAGAACTTTGCTTATGATTCTAGGCTTCCAGCTCTATATCTATTTAACTTACTTTTAAAAAATGTGCACCTTAGAACTTAGAACTTTTACTTCCATAAAGAGTAGAAATATCTCAGTCACAAAAGACAAATACTGTATAATGCCACTGTTATAAAACAAGACTGATAGGGGGAAAATAAGAAAATAATGTACATGGCATTGAAACAGATGAAGGAGAGAACTATATAAAAGGAATATATCATTAGGTATTTTTGGTATGACAAGAGCCCAGAATAAGAGCTGCATAGCTGGGTAATAAAGTTGTCTGGAGGTGGGGGGTGGGGTGGGGGGAGTGACTGTATAACAATAAAAGAACTTTTTTTCCTAAAGAAAAAGTGAACTGGGGGGAGGGACAGCAGGGAAGAAAATGTGCAACAATGAATGAATGAATGGAAATCCAAGTTCTTTATATACTTAACAATAAAATCTCAAGTAAAAAAAGGAGTGGTAAAAGGGGAAAAAAGAGTAGGAATGGTGACAATAATCTGATATTTCTACAGGATTAAACTAAGAAAGCTAGTTAATGTAAAATTATTTAATATTTGTAGTTACAACATTGACTAAATGTATTAAAATTTCAAGATGGAGATTTTTTAAGGCTTTACCCAAACTCTACATTTTCTTTTTATCTTATGAAGCTTTTATTACTTTATAACTTTTTATTACTTTTGGGTCTCTATTGTTTTTTGTACAGTCATTCATATACCTTGTGTTTTTTATCATGTACATTGTTTTTTTCTATAATCACTCATATTCATTGTGTTTTACACAATTATTTACTATTGATCATGGCCTTTTATCATTCAATGTGCTGTTCCTATATCTAAAATAAAATAAATCAGTATCTTAAATCAAGCACCAAAGGCTGAGAATCTAGACATGAGAATGTCTGATGGCTTCTGTTGGGATGGGGAGTCCAATTACAACCTTAGTTACATGTGTCCAGCATGATGAAATTGAGAATCAATGTCACTATAAATATAATGTGATCTATCTTAAAATACTTGGCTAATAGTAAATCTAAGAAGGAAAGATATTAAAAAATTTAGTGAAACACTTTAGAAACTGAGTGGATATTTCTTACTCTTTGATTGATGAGCAACAAAGAAAACTCTTTCTCAGTTGAAGCTCATGAAATATCATGATGTGAGAAGAGAGCTGAAGAGAAGACAAGATTAGTCACTTAGAAATCTGAAAATGGGACACTTCAAAACCAAAAATATAACAAAAATAGAATAAAGAACAAAACATAAGTTGTATTTGAAATATGCACAAAACACTTAATACAAAGACCTAAAGTCATAGAGATGAGGGATGAAAATAACACTAAAGGTGAAATTAATGCAGAAAAGAGAAAAAGGGAGAGAAAACTGTCTTAAGAGATTGTGGGTGGGAATTTTAAGAATGGATGCAAGATATCAACTCTGGTATTCATGGAGTTCATAGAACACTGGGAAGAATATAGAAACATCTATACTATGACGTCTACACTATTTTAGCAAGTAGTCTATGACTAAGAGTCGGTGGTACTGACAAAAGTCACTTAAGCTAGATTGAAGACATTGGCAATCAATAAGGCCTTGGGAATTGACAGAATAACAATTGATTTGCTTCAGGAAACAGATGCAGCCAGTCATGTGGTCACTAGTCTAATCCATTAAATACTGAAGACAACTACCTGGTCAGCTGACTGGAAGAGATTAAATTTTTTCCTATTAATAGACACACACACACACGGGGATGCAACAAAATGAGGACCTTATCAAATAATACCATTCATGCCACACTCAAGAAAAGTCTTGTTGAAGATGTTAAAACAATTTAAGAAGTACTTCAGCACAAAACTATTAGAAGTTCAAGTTCCATTCAGAAGAGACTGTGGAAGTAGGAGTGTCCTTACTGACATCAGATGGACCTTGAATGAAAGCAGAGAATACTGCAATGGTGTTTACATGTGTGTATGGACTATGCAAATAGACCATGAGAATCATAACAAATTATGCATGACATTGAAAAGGACAGGATTTCTAGAACACTTAATTATGCTTATGTGCATTATGTACATAGAACAAGAAATAGTATTCTGAACAGGATGAGGGAATATAACATGGTTTAAAATCAGGGAAGGCATACATGAGATTTGAGAACTTCAGCATATGTATACAATCTGTATGCTGAACAAATAATCTGAGAAGCTAGACTATGTATGTGAAAATGTGACATCAGAGTCACTAACAATATACAGTATGCAAATGAAAATACTTGCTTGTCAAAAATGAAGATGACTTGAAGGACTTATTAATTAAGCTCAAATACTACTTGTAGTATAGAATTTACCTTGAGATAAAAAAAGAAAAATCCTCAACACTAGACCACTAAACATCATGATAAATGGAGAAAAGTTTGAAGTTGCTCAGGATTTAATTTACTTAGATCTTCTATTACCATCTATAGACACAGTAGCTGAGAAACTAAGTGATAGATTTTATAAATTTGTTGTCAAGGACCTCTTTAAAGTGTTAAAGAGCAAGAATGCACAACCACAGACGAATGGCCTGAGAAATGATGACACATTCACACAATGGATGTAGCAAATAACTTTGTAAATTATTGCCCAACTTGGGAGCAACTGGAGAGCATTATGCTTAGTGAACTAACTCAGTCCCACAAGGATAAATATTGTATAAAACCATTATTGTAGAATGAGCATAAGGATCCCCAAAGGGTGGGAGAGGCTGGAAGCAGAGGGATGTGGATGTGTGTGTGTGTGTGTGTGTGTGTTTGTGTGTGTGTAGGATATTAATCATTGAGCTCTACAATTTGATGGGTGTGGGGTGAGGGAAATTGAAAGCATTTGTTCAAATTTGTATTTGAGTTTTGTAAATAAACTAGTGGGGCGGGGTTTGAAGAGAAAGAGTATCAGTTTAAAGACTAAAGTGGGTCCCACCCATGTATGATATTTTCAATTCTTTATGCACATCTGATGGGGCGAAGAATTAATGCTATGAACTTGTGGTATTGTTGAAGCATTTTGCAAATGTCATAAACTCCTAATAGTACAAATAGGTGTGTCTTGGAAGATGTGCAGCCGAAATATTCCTTTCTAGAAAAGATGATGAAACTTTTCATGAAATGTGTAAAATGTTTCAACAACTTTGTCTCATATATTTTAAGTAGGTTATCAAGAGGGTTCTGTCTGTGGGGAAGGATATTGTGCTTTGCTTGTCCCTAACCCTAACCCTAACCCTAACCCTAACCCTAACCCTAACCCTTAATGAGACAGGTGAATGAGGGAAATCCTTAATGAGTGACTGCAACAATAGTCTTAAACACAACAGAGAGTGTGGAAATGGTGCAGAATCAGTTTTATTCAAGTCACAGCATTGACCAATAGCAACATGGGTTCTTTTGGTTTATTGTATGTTTTTTGCTTTCTTTTTTAAAATTAATTTTAATGAAAGTTTACAGACTTTAGATTTCCATTTCCATTCATTCATTGTTGCACTTTTCTCCCGCCCCCCTCCCCCCCAGTTCACTCTTCTCTTTGAAATGTAAAAGAAAAATTCTTT